CTTAGAAGGAGAACCAACAGTGATTTTAATCTGACTGTATACATAAAAAAACACGGATACTTGTTTTTGCTTATGCAAACTGTGCCCGGACTGTGACATTTACCGGGGGAGCCGACGCTGAGGAAATACAAGTCACGTCGGTCATCGTCGATCTCGTTTCGCAAATTGTGTGGTACTACTATTCACTACAAAAGCAAAACACCAGGACAGGGGCATCTGTCGCGGAATCTAGAAGCATGTGTACTAGATGGAGCGCTTTGACCAAACGCGCTTCAGCGTACATAGCAGACGACAATGCCCTTGAAAAATTTTCTGATTTCGATATTGAAATCTGCTGTTATTGGTAATGGGCCGTTTTATTTGATGCCGATTTTAGTATTAAATACTTGTTATCTAACAATTTCTCTTCTTCTTTTTAGTTTCTCCTTTATTTGTTTTCGAAAACAACATTGTATTCATATCCATGGCACAGGGCCTTGATGCTCAATAATGGGATACATTATCGTGAATAATCTGCTGCAATGACGTCATAAAATCCCCTGGTATTGATAACGCTATAATATAATTTATAATATTTTCACTGAATTCTATAGAATAAATTTACCATTTACAAATTAATGTGTTGGACAATATATAATCTGCATATTTCACAATCCACATTCTTTATTTGAATCTGTTTCAAGCCATTTGAAAAAATAATTTGGAATCATAACAATACAACGACTAGATTTGGTGTCACAGTTTGCTCCCAATTCATACTGGAATATTGCCAGCAATAATTAATAAAGCTTGTTCAGAATACCATTTATTCCCGACATCATATTCAATGGCTAGTTCTCAGGATCTACAACAGTAAATAAATAAACAAACAGAAATCATTTTGATGCCATGTTTTTAGACGACGCCACCATAACGAATTTTGGTTTGGACCATACCATTTCAAGCTGCAGGGTGTCTAAACAATGACTGAACAAACAATAAACACATCTTCCATCCACCACACAAATTTTAGCCACAATTGAACAACCAAGGAAGCAACAAATATCAGGCTGCATCTTGAAAACAACGAGATACCACATTACAACCAGTCATTACAAACATGAAATCCTCCACCCCTCCCAGTACACCCTACAACATTAATGGTTATTATACTCATTTGCATCTATGTACAACAAGCTTAGCCAATAGATGTACCTGACTCATCAAACTTTTGACCAACCACTCATTCTAATTATTGTTGCGTGAGGGCGCTATTTTAAAAGAATTAACAGATCTAATATTACAAGCAGTGAACATCAAGTGATGCTTTAATTAATGAAGGTATACAGTTCACTTACCTGAAAACATATTGGGACAGGACTTATAACTTGTACCCATAGTTCTTGTAGTCTGGGCGCAGTTGTATACCTGTGCGATAAATGATTTCTGTGGCAGTGATTCAGATCTAGTGTTGAAATTAAAATAAAATATTAAAATTAATTCATTACATCTGTCCTATTTTTATAGAAGAACCTTCCCAAATAAAAAAGAAATTCTAATATTTAAAAACATAAGAGGTAGTCACTAAACCATGTACTTTCACATTCAAGCAAGAGAATGTTGGTGAGCTAGCCTTGCACTATGAGTATTTTATTGTTTGCAGCCTGAAAAATAACAGTTTTTTTACAAATAAAAACATTTTTAAAAAAAGAACTGCAGACCTCACTTCTTTATATTTTTGAGTGGGCCAGCCAAGTTTCCACATACAAAAATACACATAATATTTCAATTTCTATTTCTATTCAGTGGTTAGTTTTCAGGATCTACAACAGTAAATAAACAGAAATCATTTTGCTGCCATGTTTTTAGACGACACCGCCATATCGAATTTTGATTTGGACCATACCATTTCAAGCTAGTGTGTGTGCGTGCGTGCGTGCGTGTGCGCACGCGTGTACGTGTGTGTTTGCGCGTGTGTGTTTGCGTGTGTGCGCGCGCGTGTCTGAGCGCGTGCATTCGAAAGTGATGTTCGCACGTGCGTGCGCGAACATGCGTGCGTGCGTACAGCCCGTAATCTGTTTGCTACTGGTATATGCCATACCAAAAATAGTGAGTTTTAAGTGGCTCCCTAACCAGTTCGACATACAGCCTGTGATACAGTCCAGCTGACCACTGAAGAAAAGGTATTGTCTACAATTCGATACAGATTGATCTGTAAGTTCCTTATTTTCAACTTTCACACATTTCTCCAGATCGATATGCCTTTGCTACTCAGAAACAATCACAAATACTGACTTAAGTTTAGACCACTGTATTTCAATGAAGGGACTAGTTTTCAGTCTTAATTAATTACAGAGTAGACCATTTATGTGGACAATTTATTGTCTTGGTAGGTCACTCAATTCACACAATTTGAATTGATTGTCTAGTTGTTATGTGCAATCGTTTGCTGTAATTCTTGTTTGAATATTGATTTAATGATGAAACATTGGCTAACTATCAAAAGATATAATTGTATTTACATGCACCTAAAATAACACACACTTTATTACCATGAAAAAAGGAAATATTATATTACATAGCAGATGAGAAAACACATTATGCACACATTTTGTTTTGCACATCCACGCAATCGTTTATTATTGGTATACGTCATACACAAATATAGAGTTGACTCCCTAACCAGTTCGAAATTCAGTCTGATGTTACAGTGCACTGAAGACAAAGTATTCTCCACAAGCTGGTACAATTTGACTAGTAAGTTTCTTTACCGGCATGATTTTATGTAAAATTTTAATACTGTATTTCAGGGAAAAAACTGTTATGTAGATGCAAATTCCTCAATAAGCATCTGTTGTTGCCTAGTATGGCGTTGAACTTGAAACACGATGACGATACCATATAAAGGGCCACGGTTGTCTTAAGTGTAAAGCTGACATAATATGCCCCACTGTTCCCGTTATATTGAGAGTATACCATTATATCGTACAAAGGTGTTCTTGACTTACACTGTCGCTTACAACCGACTGCACAAAAACATTGGTGTCCACGGCTCACCTCCGCTTGTAGACTTCAGCATAACCGCTTTCTTTAAATTCTAATAAATTTGACTATTGGCTTTTATGGAATGAACCGAATGCCTGCTTAATGACTACGTGTTTCCTAGCTCGCATTTAAATAGTCACTCGCAGTACGTTCCAGAAAGCACCATGAAATTTTGCTATATTCAGATGGACGTGCACTGAAATCACCTATTTGCTATAACATTCCAAAATGTTAAAACGCAATGTGTTAACGATACATACATGATCTTCTGGATATTACTCTTACAAAACATTTACATCTAAAAATGAAATAAACACTAAATAGTAAAAATAAAATTTCTGATGATTGTGATATACAGCCACTATATTCTACCTGACCACCAGCAAAAAACTACTCTCCATCCGCCGATGCTGCAGATTGACCCATAGGTTATTTATTTTTAACAACTGCACAGTTTTTATATTAATTTATTCTTGCTATTCGGAATGTATCCTACTTACCAACATGATTGTATGTACAATTAGTATTTCTACCACAACACACGGCCATTTATTGGTGAAATGCCACATGATTTTGTCTACAAACATCAGCTTTCGCAGTGTTCGAAATTTAAATTGTGCCACTGTGATGCATCAAGCCATCAACGAGAAATCGCCTGTTGACATGAATATATTTGTAGAACTGGAACTCTTCATGGAAGATCCGAGCTTCAACGCTGCATTATTCAACCGAAGCAGTATTACTGAAATCTTAGCATATGTATTCCGTACTTTGGGGTCAATTCTAGTAGTATATAAACTGAAAATATTCAATTAAACATTTTTTTTAATCCATGATAAAATGAAAAACGCGACTGTATGTTTGCTTGTATTTGTTCTGTATATACAATTGGTAGACCAAACTATTGGTAGTTTTTATATACATATTTACGTCATACATCTACGTAGTACTCATTAAGACATATCCAACATATACATTGCCAAATATCCAACCGCATCACATAATGATAATGACACCTTGAATTTGTATTAGCAAAATAACAATCTAATCCATTATCAAACTATTTACTAACCACACGACCTTGAATGGTTTGAATACCTCTCATCAAGCAGGGTTTGCGCTAATGTCTCGGCAAGACGAGTCCCACTTACAAAATATTAAGAAATTTAAATTTGACTCTGGATAACTTTTCTAGAGATTGGACCCTAGCTTGCCTGAAAAACTGGGTCCCTTTTCAATAATTGGAGTCCGGGAAGCAAAATATGGGGTTAACGCAATCCCTGTCAAGTTAACAAATTAATCTGATAATCTTACAAACACATCAGTGTGGCATTCAATAGCACTGCCAGATTAATCTGATAATCTTACAAACACATCAGTATGGCATTCAATAGCACTGCCAGATTAATCTGATAATCTTACAAACACATCAGTGTGGCATTCAATAGCACTGCCAGATTAATCTGATGAAAATAAACATGCAAGATTTTTGGAAAATCTTGTAACACTCAGAATTTTCTGTTCATGAGGTAAGATTTTGTTTGACAGTGTGAAGACAATTCAACATTTGGTCTAACCATAACTTATTTTACATACAAGAATTTAAAAGTACATGTATGGGCAGAGGGTCAACAATGGTATAGGCTATCATAAATTTAATACACAATACAATACATAGAAATTATATGAGGATTTATTACTAAAGACAATGCTAAGGAAATATTTATGATAATTACAAAGTTAAATCATTCATTCATTCATACTTTATAAATATAAAATCTGTTATCAAACATTTAAACGACTAAATTTCAGACATTGCCATCAAATTCATCCAAGGATGGCAGGCTAACATAGTAATATGTCAGTTTAATAAAACTTTTGTAAGCATTAACATTAGAAAGAAAAGTACATATAAAGTTAGAAAATGAATAAATACAGCAGTGATTATGAATTGGATATGGTAAAAACATGGCACATGTAAATATTATAGAAGTAAATTGAAAACAAAAAAATAGTTTCCATTATGTAATATTATTTTTTTTAGATTTAGATCACTGTCACAACCACAATGTTTAATCCATCCAAACAGCACCATTGCCAGCTAACTTGCCGACTCATTGGCTATGCTCATAAGATCATAACGTGATTTGAACTGGTTAGATTAGGTCATTTTTACAAGAGAGTGCTATTTCACTAAATGTGATTTGCTTGTTGCAATCACGTAACAATCTTAAGACGTGCATAACAAACCAGTCAGCTACTTAGCAGGCAATGTTACTTAATGGCGGCGAGAGTAGTTAAACATACTATTTAAAACATGTTGACAAGAAATGAACAATAAATATAGTAAGCTACACATTTCAATATTACTTAAGAAAAAAAGAAATAATACAGTCTTGTGGGACAACATTTGTTTAAAAATAAATAGATCTGATTTTGACAGGCAGTGGTAATTTTATTGTTACATGATTTAGTACAACATATATGACTTATAAAATGCTGCTTCATGAATAACATTTCATTTTGTGATCCAACATTCACATGAAATCTACAGCTTGTACCATTTCGGCCCATGCCCCTAGATATCAGTTTCTTTCTGGAATATAAAGTGAGCACAGATATATATGAAAGTTAGGAGGACAATGAAATTACAAAATAATAGCATGCAGTGATTCTTAGAATCAGAATGTATGCAACCACACTGAGATGGAGTCCAGTGTGACAAGGAGGTTCACATAACCACAAAATAGTTTTAATTATAATAATTTACCTTTTGCTTTGTCAACTTGGCTTTTCTCTTCTTTATTGGGGTGAATCCAATGCTGAAAGCTGTAGACTCGCAAGTTTCCTGTATTGAAAAAAAAGTAGAAAATAAGTAGTATCAATATTATTTATTTTGAGGACTAGGCACAGTGTCTCATGTTAATGATATAGCCCAGGCCACAGCTTCTGAAAACAATACAGCCTACACTACAGTTGCTGAAGTGTCTTGCTATCAACTATATAGCCTAGACCACAGTTTCTGTTGCATGTCACTGTCAACTTTATAGCCAAAGTTATATTTATTATGTCTCTGTGTCAACGATATGGCACAGGCCAAAGTTCCTGTAGTGTTTTGTTGCCAACTGTGTAGCCCAGACAAGTGTGGTTAACAATGATACATCACGTTTGAATGTAATGGATCCAGACATGTCAAAGATAAAATATGGCTCATGAACAGTAAGAGTATGTCAGTGATATGGCTCCAGAACTGCATTCACTAAAACAAAATGGTCACCAGTCAGCCATTTTGAGTCCAATCTGACAAACAAAATGATGTTCATTAAGGTTCAATATTGTCCAATGTTTGTATCAATCTATACCAAGATCCTGTTCAGGAATGACAGAAATGATTGCTATTTGGCCATCTGCAATTGAATCACAAAACCAGTTGATGTGCATATGTATCCCAAGATGCATCATGTTTATATGATATTTGAATATGATCCGTGCAGACATGTCCAGCATACAGGTGGAGATGTACACATCCACAAAGGTCAAAACACAAGTCCCAATTTCCAGACTCTGTTCAAATGAGAACTAATTATTCCCATAATCCATGTGATGGCAACAGAATACCAGTGAATAAATCAACTATAAACATCATACCTTTCTGTTATCATTCTTAGCCACTCTTAAACTTTTGCGGTTTTGTTTATCTTTTAATGGTGTAAAACCAACATCAAATGCTGTACACTCTTTGTTAATCCGCACAGTTTCCTGAATAAAAGACATTAATTTAAATTACTACATGCACAAGTAATACACTAAAAATATGTATGGATCGACAATTCTACATCAATCCAACTTTTAAATTTGAAATTGAAATGGAATTTAGTACTCTGTTATGACAAAATAAGCCACTGGGAAAGTCACAGTCCCTCTTTTTGTACTTGCTCCATTTTTACAAGTTTAACTAAATTTATTGTGAAAATTCTCATGTATGTACCTATACCTGCTAGACAGCCATTTTTATAGGATTGTGACATAAATCAAATGGCATCTCTAAGAATAAATGCATTGCCTTTGTACTGTAGAATACTTTATCTTCATTTGGAATTTATTTCCACTATTTTCGCTGAAGGGATGATTCCGTGAAAATAAAATCCAGTGAATATACTTTTTTTTCTATATTTCACATTCAACTCATCAAAAATCAGTGAAAATAAATTCCATAAAAAACACCCAAAAAGCCTTTTCAGCGAAAATTAATTCCAGCAAAAATAAAGTATTTTACAGTACTTAGTTTGAATAGACTTGGTGTGCCAACATGTTCCAAGTTAGAAGGATTTTGTCCGCACAACTTTGTGATGATATACAAAACCTGTATTTTTTAAAGCCATATTTTGAGAATGAATATTGCTGCCAGTCAGCATTTTGAATCTGATCATAAACAAATCTGGAGCATACATATGTATGTACATATCACATGTATCAAATAAATGGAAAGTGTTGAAAACAGTCTATGAACAGTTGGTAAAATGTAACAGACTGGCAGATAAATAAACAAATTGTAAACAAAGTACAAATGTACTGATAACTCGCAAAACTCCAAAAAAAAATATACAGTATAAAGATGCAACATATTAATCCGAAAACACTACATAGAATACAGGGACAGGCAACTACAGTCTCTTGAGATTTGAATGTTAGCATACAAGATAACCTTCAAATTTGAGATGGCAAGTTACATTGTACATGCAGAGAATACAAATATTAATCATGTTTTTCAATGGACGAATTTCAAAATAAATATTTTCAAAAACAGGTCACACAAACTACAGTGATAAGTGTGAATGGCAGTTGTGAATTTCTAGCGACGCACAGATCTTCTATTCCCTTTAATGTTTTCCGCAGTTGGATGTTCCTATATCTTAAATCCGTGATCAAACTTGTAACATAGTCGCTTACCTTCTGGGCAGAAGTTGATTTTCTGGGAGTTACTCGACGAGTCTTGTTAGGTCTCTGCGACACTGAGGACCGCAGCTAGAAAAAAAAAATTGTATTGTTGACCATGTTAATGTCATTGTAATGTGTGGTTTGAGAGACTGCTAGATTTATTTCACTTCTCGGGATGTTTTACTCACCCTTCTTCTTGCTCCATGATTTTTGTCATCAGACACAACAGCTTTCCTTTTTCTGACTTTCTCCTGATCTGTTTTATTTTTCAATGCATTCTCCTCAACCTTAGTTGGTGTAGCATGCTGGGTCTCAATGGGATATGCAGTTCTTAGATGTGGAGGACACAACGTGTTCCTACGTTGCATTTCTGATACTCTATTCCAATCAAAATGTTCAGGTTCATCCTCACAGCCTCCCATGAGTACAAAACCTGCCCTTCCTGTAGGATGCAAAGACATGACACGAATTACACAAAAAGGGAGGTGTCAATCGGTGAGAAAATGTGCCAGACCAACCTTTTCGGGTCAATTTGGGAGTGTTGATAAAAAACAATTATGCAAATAAATTGTGAATTTTCTTCAAACAGAGTGGCTACCAGTCAACCATCTTGTATTGAATCCAAGCTCAAACCAACTTGCATCTTTTTAAATTTACAAAAAGGCTACCGGTCAGACAATTTCAAATAATCCTAACAAACACAGAATGTGTCTCAGTATGCCATATATATTTTTAATTTCACAGACTCAGTCAGCAAAATTGGGAGATAACATCTACACGTATAAAATTTAGGTTTTTAGGCTATTTTTTAGTTTAAATATGGCCAACAGTCGACATTGAAGCATAAGTAATGCTATGGAATTATGTATCAACATGTCCCAAGTTTAGTGAAAACAAAAATCAGTCCATGAACTTGTGACTATAAATATGACTGAGGGACACGCCAACAATGAACTAAACCAATTGCACAAGGCTAAAAAGTTGTTTGACAAATTCACATCCCCCACCCATGCATTTCTCATTAAACTGAAATTGATTACATGCATAATTTTTATTCTTTGGTAACACAAGTATTTTTTTTACCAAATTGACACAATAAGATTTGTGTTAGATGTGACAAGCTAAGACAAAAACAAAGCTACATTAAAATGATGCATCAAAGATAGTATCATGTTCAGGAAATGAAAATACAATATTTACACACTTGAGGTATTTCAATGATGCATTGTATGGTATATGTGTTGTTTTAATAAAGCAAATACAGTAATTCATTTAGTAGAACAAATATTTGGTGAATACACGTCATCACAACATTAACTACAACCTAATTACCTGTTGTTTGTTTATTGACAGCATCCAAAGTACAGCTTGGACTGGATTTCAAAGTGGGAATAACATGATGTCCAAACTCAAAACTTTCATCCTTATCGGATATTGTGTCATCTTCCAAAGACGTCTTGCGTGTCATTGTTATTTCAAAGATTGTAGAGGCTGAATAAAAACACACCAGTACATGATAATTTCACAGTACATAAATATTCATTTTTTAGTCAGTTTTTAAAAATAACAAATGAAAAACAATAAGCCCCCAAGGACATTTTTGAAAGAGTCTCACTGAAAAAGAAAAGCAGTCAATATAGAAAGTTAAATTTTGTAATCAGCTGTTACTTGATTCACAAGACAAAACCACACTTAATAGCAGTGTATCCAAACATCACATTGTAAGAATATTTTTTATGCAGTTACACAGTTGTTATTGACAACCTATGCTTCAGATAAATAAAAAAAAAATAAAATAATCTTACATACATGTAGCACCCGAATAATATACTGTAAAATGACTAATTTTCACTGGGTTTAAATTTCACTGATTTGCCATTTCAGGCATATTCAGTGGGTTTTAAATTCACGGTTTTATCATTTAGATAACGTGTTCTATGCTAAATTTTACATATTTACTGGGTTTTAATTTAGCGCATTTTCCAGTCAGCGAAATAAGCCAAATTAAAACCCAGTGAATAATTAACCCCTTTACAGTACAACATATTAAAACATCGTTGATACTAGTTTATGAAAAAATTACCAAAATATTCACCAAAAATACTGAATATTGAACTGAATTTAACAAAATTTCTCACTGAATTAATAAACAGGAAATTCACTGCACAATTATTATGTAAATACAGATATCATTATAAGTTTCTATTACAATATTATCCAAATACTGTTACAGTATTGTATCCACTAGCAGCATACATGCTTTTGTAATTAACAGATGGGTTTTTATGGTCAAAATTAGTAATATTTGAATGATTCTGTTTTTAGGCATTTAAGCACAACTGATCAATAAATGTTTTTACCTCTTTTGGAATTGATGCTTGTCAGAGATTCCCGACTACTGAACTGGTTGGTTTCCAAGTTGGAAGGTTTTGATCTTCGCGACATCTGCGATATTTCTAAATCAGACAAGCACAACGTATGATCATCTGGTTCTAAGCTGTCTTGTCTAATAAGTGTATCGTCCAACATTGATGTATCAGAGTTCTCTGCCAAGTAATGAGAGGATGATGCTTCATTTGCTTTTATTAGTTCTCTGTCACCATGACGGAACTGTAAAAAAACACACACAAAAAACAGTTTTTAAAATATGCAGCGTCAAAGTAAACTTACTGTTGTTGAGTATATCATATATAAAACTTGGGATTTTTTTATAAAAAAAAAAAGGTTTATCTACAAAAACAAAATGCTGTTGTACCTGGACTTCTAAACAACGTAGACGATGTTTCAAGATATCATTTGTTTTCTGTTCTTCGGAAAACTTGTGCGTTACATTTGTAATTTCTACCTCCAAGGTTTTCAGCATTTCTTTCAACATTTTATGCTGCAAGAAAATATGAACGTATTAATTATGACAGCAATAGGCATTATTAAACCCGACATGAGACACAAAGTCTGGTGTACTATCACATAGGTTAGTATATGCTGCAAATATTTACATACAGTAGTGTGTTGTACAGCTAGTTAATCGTTTGATGCGAGAGAAACAGTTAAGAAATCAGATTTTTCAGGCAGTGTATTGAATACATCAATGGTATTCATCTTGTAGGCAAGGTACAATGTACAAGCAACTTTCTGATGGATTACAATTAGCTGATCTTGGTTTAACCTTGCTATCCTTAAAGAACAAGTTTGTAGAATCTCTTGTGTTGATACAAAATTTCCATGAATAGTCTGCGGTGCCTTCCATAGTAATCACCACAGTTTTTGAAGTGATAAATATGCTAATGAGAGATGCAGCCGTTGACCTGCTCTACACAACCAGATTCCTTTGCACAAGCATACTTGGCCAGTCAAAGTTGGATCATCAGAAATGCTTTTGTAAGCGAGTCCACATTTTGAATTTAAAGGTAATTTAAATTTGAAAGCTCAAACTAATTAATAAAATATCAAAGTTTGAAAAAAAAAAATTTGAATTATTGTAACCACAAGAAAAAAGTTTATGCTGAACATGACAACAAAGACGATGACAGACATTTTCTTCTCAAATACATTTCCCTTTATATAATAATAAATCGAGCCAGGTAAAAAAAATCATACATGAAATGTTGACAAAATATTAGAATAGTTCATAGTAGTATTAATTTGATAGGAAACCACTCGGGGCCTTGCGAGATAAATATCAAACAAAGTTGCTGTAATGAATTAATAAGAATAATTTAATGGAGAACAATGTCAGTGCCGTAGGGCTGCTTGGACTATTACATTGTATGTCAAGAATTTAAATGAATAAAGTTCCATTAATTAGTTATTTTACATACTGGTACGAGACATTCAAAGTTTCAAATTAGTTTTCCCCCAATGAATGATGATACATTTCTCACCTCATTTTGCAAACTTTGCAGCTGAGTTGACAGATCAAGTTTCTCACGTTCATGTCGCCTCAATTTACTATTGGTCTCACCACAATGGCTTTCGTGTTTTGTTTGTAGAATGGTGTATTGATTAACTAACTTTTGCAACTTGGTTTTATAGAGATCACCTCGACTGTCACTTTCTTGCAATTTTTTGTCAGTTTCTGCTTTATAACGATTGAAGCGACCCATCTCGGACTGTGCCATCTCAATGGTCTGTTTTAACTCATCGTTCTCTTTGACTCTTTCATTGTATTTCATTCTTAGACTGACTATCTCAGAATCTTTTTGGCCGATTTCCTTGGTATATTTCAGTTTCAAATGATTTATTTCATTTTCTTGCTGCTTAGAAAGTTTATCAATTTTCTCTTTGAGGCAACACTCCTGTAAATCATGTTCTTTTTGTGTCTTTTCCATTTCTACAATTTTCTTGTTTTTCTCCGCCAGATCTTTTTCATACTTGTTCTTTTCTTGTCGAGTGGTTTCCATTATCTGTTGTTGCTGTTGTGATATGTCACGTAGTCTGCAATGGAATTCTTTTGTCAAACTGCGTTTATTTTGAGTCTCTGCATCATAATCTTTCTGTAAGCCAGTAATTTGTGTTCTTACTTCGGCTAGTTTTCTCTCATAGCTTGCTTCCATGACTGACATCTTATTCTGGTTTTGTTCTCTCTCAGCAGCCAAATGATTTTGCAACTCTACAATCTTAGAATTCAACACTACTTCCTTCTCACATAGCTGATTCTCAACACATTGCTTTTCTGAAGCCAGCTCAGCCAGTGTGGTTCTGAATTTAATTAATTTATTTTCATATGCTGCTTTCATGGTAGAAATCTCATTTTCCTTCTGTTCACATAAAGCAGTGTATTGTTCTTTTCGCTGCTTCTCTAAATTCTCCTTTTCTGACTCCAGATCAGATACTCTTTTTTCCAAAATAAATCCCAAGGATTCACCGCGCTGAACTTCTTCAGTAGCTGTTTTGGAATACAACACAACATGGTACAGTTATTACGGCAGACAACAACAAGTTTAAATGGAAACTACCAATGTAAGTACAAGTCCAAATTAAGTTCATTTCAGCATTCAAACAAGGATTAAATACATTTAGAAAGTGGATATATAGCCAAAGGCTCTGTGCACTTTCATAGATGCTGGCTAATCAGTAAATTGATCGAGTGAATACAGTTAAAGTTTACAATCATAAATTGATGGTTTTCACTGCAGTGGAAATACTGCATAGAATCGGACAATTCATTTACCCAGCTCACTCACCTTGTTGGCAAATTCTTTCTTCAAGCTGTTGAATTTCATCTTTCAGTGCGTTTTCTCTCTCCTCTTTTAGACTTTGTAATTCGTCTTTTTCTTTGATAATATCTAGGATACTTTGTTTATTCCTTTCACATTCTAGTCGTAGTTGATCGTGATGGTAGGTTTCCTCAGTCAGACGTTTTTGAAGTTGAGAATTCTCTATCTGCAAGGCCTCATTGTGTTTGGTCTGAAATCAAAAACGCCCATTCACAGTT